AGAAATCCATATTACAATTTACTGAATACTACTGTACATGTTCCTAATACCATGTTGCTTTTAGAAAGATATAAAATTGATTAAAAAATGAGTTCAATTCTACCCCAAAGTTTGTTGTGTTTCTATTGGCTGAGGAAGCTCTCTTTCCAAACAGCAGACATCTGTTGGGAGGCGAGGCCAAGTTGTGGCAGGTGGCACACCTGTCATGTGTTTTCTTCTTTGTTTGCTGGGGATTTAAGGAGCTACACCACTGTCATTCTTCCCCTGATTGTCAAACCCTGTGTTAAAGTCAAGCCCGGGGAGTTTTCTAACTCCTCGTGACTTACCTAACATTCCTTGTGACTCATGGTTCCTCCTTTAATTTGTACTAGTGTCCACTCCTTTTTTTAAAATGAATTGTGACCTGGGACTCATCACTTTTCCTATGATTTGAAGTCATTTCAAAGTGGAGCAACCCAGTCGATGTCCCAACTATAAGATGAATCTAAGAGGGGCAGTAAACATTAGGGTGATGGCAGAGAGGCCTTATAACCGTTTCTTATAACCAAATATCAATATACCAAAAGAAACATGCAAAAAACAATTATAAAGGGTGGACTGAATTGATAAACTGTTGCTACTGTAAGCTGAGTATTTAGCAAGGTAAGGCCCAAAGGTACTCATACCTCCAAAGATTTTTCATATTGTTACTCAATCATGATTAAATTAGACAGACATCTTTGAGAAGATGATAAATCGGTTTCAAACGTAGAATAAAAAATTTTTTATTTGTATTTGTTAAAAATATGATAAAGTCAATAATCCTTTCTCTTGAATGAAAGAAGCACAGCAATAAACCAATAAAGGTTTGAGGACATTACAGGGCTCCTAAATTTACTGCTCGGGCAAGGATAGCATAAACTAACAGTGCACACAAAGAGGAAGACCTACAAAATCATTTTTGGTTCATTGTGAAATAACAAAAGAAAGGGTATTCTTTTAGAAAAATATGCTGAACTAGATTTTTCATGCCCACATATGGACAGGGATTCTTTGGGCTATCCTGCCCCACTGTGGCTGAATAAGGGTCACTGCAAATAAACAACTACTGGGGGTAGTATTACATAATAGAATTTTCAGAATTAATATACATGTAAGCATGATGAATAACAATGATGATTGATTTAATGAATATGCAAATTATCTTAATAAATGATTACTGTTATTTTTCATATATCTCTTAGTACATTTACCACTTTATTTAGAGCTGTTTTTAAGACTTTACATTCTTATCTATATTTGTAACATTCTATTAGCTCATGTTCAACTTATTCTAATTGACTACAATGATTACAAATCCCTGTTTGATGCTTTCTATTTGGAAAAGAGTACAACAAGACATCTATGCGATACAGTATACCTTAATCATGTCTCTTGGGATTCAGTTTCAGGATCTATGACAAAAACTGCCCTGCTGTTTCTTAATTTTTCTGTTGCTTCTGCCATACCTTAAGGACATTGCTTTGAATGAAAGATTTCCCTTCACCACAATCATGTTTATGTCATTCATCTTGAGGGCCTATTTGGCTCAAATATTCAATTCAGTTCAGTCCATTTGATTTATAAAGAGCCAATTTACAACACATGTCATCAGAAGGAAATTTCAAATAGATCATAGTCATATTGGTTCAAGTTTCCATTGAAGGAAAACCAGCTAATTGCATCATGTCAGCATGTAGAGAGAGTAGACATTCGCTTGCATTTTGTCAGTGACTCTTCAGCAATCCTTCACACCAACAGTGGGGAGGGAAAACTCCTGTTAAAGGAAAGCTCTGTGTCTACACCTTGAAGCTTTCTCTCTCCGGTTCTTTCTTCCTGAAAAGAGATCACTCCAGACAAACTCTTTAAATAACGCATCACAATGTATCAAATAACAATGAGAAATGACAACAGATTTTGATAGAAATTGTAATCTTACTCAGATCAGAGAAGTTGCTTTGGGTTGCAGAATGCAGCTGCTTACCAACCGGGCTCACTTCTCGGGAAGTGGCCTGACAAACAGGTAGAGAAGCATGTTATACTTCAGTCTGCCACATCATCACATCATTACATCATACACTTTTGCAGATGAGGAGACATCCATGGCTCCAGCCTTACCAAAATATTACACTTTCTTCGTTCTTAGTTGAAGGACATCGCTCTCTTCCATCCCCAAATCTTTGCCACATACAGAATGAAGATTATAACTTTATATAGCCGGACCGAGGAAATGGCCCAATTAGATGAACTTCTGGGGGAAAACATCCATTCTGACATGCAACAGGTAGCTAATATTAGGGTGTAATGAATTCACACATCATCAATCATAAGTATCCTAACACTCCCTTCTAACAGAAATAAACCTACAGCAGAATCAGACTCAGTGTGAGGCACATTCGGAAACCGACTCGGGATTCAAGGAGAAGGAAGCAGACATACAAAAAGAAGCATAGATACAAAGGATAACCATTAACTAGCTCCATAGGTGGCTCTGGTAAAGAAATGAAGCATTAATCAGACAAACTCTGAACACATACAGTTTGTCACGGTAGAAGCTCAGCCAATATGTCTAGGAGAGAAACAGGTCTAAACACTGAATAACAGTCTCAATGCTAATATCTGTAATTAAATGTGCTCAGTTGATATTTCTTTTCAACATAGAGTCACAGCAAAACAGGAATAGATCAGATGAAGCTACTATGACAAAAATAACAAAAACAAAGAGAACATAAAGTTATTGGTTGAACTAACAAATTCATGCAGAGTGGGAGAATGCAGATAGAATGAAGCCAAATGATGAAAATTAAATATATAAAAGTTAAATAACTGCCTCTTTATTCCCTTTTACTCTTATATTTGTTGGGTTCCATTAATGTGATATGGAATATATTGGGGGGCAGTGTTGGCCTTGTAGTTAGAACAGTGAGCTTGTGCTCTGAGAAGGTTGCAAGTACCCGGTTCGATCCCCATAGCCTCAGGGTCCCTGAACAAGATCCTACCCCACATTGCTCCCTGGGCGCCGCACAGTGGCAGCCCACTGCTCCCCAAGGGGATGGGTTAAATGCAGAGATGAATTTCACCAATGTGAGATCAATAAAGTTCAACTATTATTATCATAATTTTGACAAGAATGTATTTTACTGAGAATATATAACTTGGTATACAGGCTTACTTAACACAGCTGCATGATTGGGAACGGAAATTGGACTGACTCTAATTTAGAATCTTTCTCTGTTTTTGGTAATTTTTAAGCATTTATCTTCAATGCCTTTTCCTCCTGAGATGTTAAGGATTATGTCATAAATAGGTATTACTGGTGAAATACCTGAGATGACCCTACAAACATGCTTTTTACCCTCTAGGATTTTCCTCCGTAACTCCAAAACTCTTGTGTAATTATGCAGCTCCTCAATCGACAGCTTGTCAATCTGGGCAGGCCTAAATTCACCGGTCTAAACTTTCTGGACCAATTAAGGCGTAGAAGGCCATAGTTTATGATGCCTCACTCCTAGAGCAAAAATGATCCATGATGCAGCAGCTTTTCTCAAACCATAAGAGTCAAGAGGGCAGCGGCATCAGATCAATGTTTTAATAGCTGGATATAGATTAAACATTATACATACAGGGTACATAAAATGAAATTCTGTTGATCAGGATGGAGGATTAGCCTGAGTTGCTGTGACTGAACATTGCCACCACTAATGGCCAACCTGACCAGTATATCTTTGGTGGTCGGGAAACCAGAGCGCCCAGAGGAAACCTACCGGTACACAGATATGGGGAGAATATCCAAACTCCAAACAATAAGACTCCTGCTGAGCCCCAGACTGAAACCCAGGACCTTCTTGCTGTGAGGCAAGAGTCCTAACCCCTGCTGCACTGTGCTGCCCTATGTATTGTTAAAACCACAACAGCTGGCTGCTGTAAGAGTTATTCTTAAAAAAAAAAAAAAAAGAGGACATCTATGCTACTCTCCTGCCTGGTTTTTGGGGTATGTGCCACATTTATCTAATTGATTCTTACCGTTTTTTTGCTGACAATGTTAATCCAATCCTGGTCCCATCTTTAATATCGAACTCTGCCCGGGCTTTTTAGACTGATATGTTGTATTCAAGGCATCAATCAATCTGGCTTGCCATACCAAGACCACACAGCATCTCCCTAACAGTTGGGCCTGCTCATCGACACCTGACTCTTTGCCACTTGACTGTGGCTGAGGTCTCCGACAAGGCTGTCCATGTTGAAATGCCTTCATTTTTAAGGGATTTGAGGACAAATTGCCCCACCTCTGGAGCAGGATTACTAAGAGCTTGAGACAGGAATCCAGTAAAGAACTCCTGATCTTCTTCCTGGGATTCCTGTCTGAAGTTCAGAAATACTCCTGCTCCAGAGGTCCTTTGTTCTTCAGTCCCAGAAGTCCAATGCCGGTCACAGCATGGTGGTAGTAGTAAATTTTTACGAGTACATAATATTGATTTTTTTTAAAATTATTATTATATTAAAATTTCTACCATTTTCCTTAGTATTATTACCATGCCGTTTCTGTGTCCCTTAAAGCAGGCCGGAATCAAGCAATGGTCTGGAGGTGCTGAAGGGGAAATATTTCTATAGGGAGAATACAGATGGTGTGCTATTCCTGAGGGTGATCTTTTTAGATCCTCATTTTCACATTTCCCTCTGACATTATAGTCATATGAATTAGCATGTAAGCTTTTTTCTTTAGTGATTGTATATTTTTTGTTTGTTTGCTGTAGGCTTCGTTCTTTTATTGTCTGTCTAGGGATAGTGACAGGTTGTTTCTCTAATTGTCTGTGGCTGATGTCCATACTGTTTGTCTCCTGTGTTTAATTTATTTTTTTTTCTTCTGCAGATTTACTGCTGCAGGGGGAAATCAAACGTATACAGGTTTCTTAATGGTGCAATAAAAAAACACTGAACTCCACTTTTATTTTGGAGGGTCAGGTAGTCACGTGACTTCGACAGTTGATCACATGACCAACCGATAAACAAGGCATAAAATGTTCAACGCTGAGTGAGTTAGTGAGAGAGAAAGCTTTTGTTTCAGGTTCTTTGGACACTTGACTCCTGTTTTGTTTGATTATTACTGGTCACAGTGAAGAAGGAGAAAGTTTCAGAAGCTGATTCAAGCATGGAAACCGGAAGCAGGGCTGCTGCTGTCTCTTTATGGCTCTGTGCTGCGCTGTCCGGCTGCTTTAGCGCCATCAACCCAGCTCAGGTAGACCGAAACCGATCGTTACTATGGTATAACATTGTCATATGCAGGTAAAAACAGGTAGAAAACACGCAGTTAAAGCGTGACTTAGTTAAGTCGTTAAAAAAGAAAAAGTTCTGGAGGAATTCATGTCATGTCAAGTGCAGAAGTGTCTAACTGCACCTGACTGCTTTATGCTCAGACATAAAGGAACTTGCCTTTCCTGTTTGGCAAGTTCCCTTCAAAACAGAGGAAACTTATAATGTTTGGCCCCATGATTTACTAAAATGTTTTTTAAAAAGTGTGTTTTTTTCCCTTTATGACAGGTTAACACAAAGCTATTTGTTTCATCATTAAAAATCTTAACTTCCTCTAAACCAGTGGTTCCCAAAGTGTGGGGCGCGCCCCCTAGGGGGGGCGCAATGCCATTGCAGGGGGGGCGCGGTAAGCGGCATGGATGAATGAAGAAAAAAAAAAAAAAAAAAAAAAGGGCTTGCTTTGACTGAGCAAAATGGACAGTTGTGACACTGCAACCCAGATTTGAGAAGATCTACAGCAACAAGCAGGCTCACTACAGCCACTGAAAAGATGGGAGGATTAAAGTACAAAGAAAAAACTCTCAGGGAGCTGTTCAATGTTTTCACTCCATTTTGCACAGAGGCTTTTTTAATGTATTGATGATAGCAAAGTTAAATATTGTTACAAATAAAAAAAAAAGAAATATGTTTAAAATAACACAGACAACAAAGAATCCTCTTCTAATCTACAGTATAGAACTATGAAAAAAATACAGTTACACAAAAGTGTTCCACTGTAAAGATGGTGTATAGTTTGTTTTGTTGCAACCTGAAGTGTGAAATAAACTTCAGTGGAGTTTGAAAACAAAATATGTGTATAGGTTTATTATATCAGGTTGAAAGCTGTGTGTGCCCAGTTGATTTTTTATTTTATTTTTTATTTTTTTCGGGGGCGGGGGGGGGGGGGGGGGGGGGGGGGGGGGGGCGTGGAAATTTTATTGTAATCCAAAGGGGGGCCCAGAAGAAAATCTTTGGGAACCACTGCTCTAAACTGTTGTGTGTTGTTAGTTTAATGGCACTCAGAGGGTCTGAATTTAGTCTTATACTGCATTAAAATAGATTTTAATGCAGTATACCTTATGTAAGTCTTTCTACCACGTCCAACTCAATCGGATATGGTCAAATCTGCATATGACATATCTAGGATTGTCAAAAATAAAGGGCAGATTTAGGGCCAAAATCACTGGGAGTCCCATGAATTCAGATTTCCCACTCAGGATTCTTTGTTTTATTACTCCTATTTGTTTGGTATATCTAAATGTATAGTCCCCACACTGCAAAAACGATATAAAAATGAGTAGAAATGTATTAAATTAAGTGTATTTACCCTTAATGTGAGCAGGTAAATAAGATGATTTGCCAGAGGAATTAATTAATTACTCTTAAAAATAAGATAATTAGATTATATGCACTTGTAATTAGACAATATAATAGTTTTTTTTTTCTTATTTTAAATATAAATTGTCTTGTTCTATTGGCAACGTGTTTCATTTACCTCCTTGATTTAGGAAAAAAAATGACTTGAGATTTACATTTTTTGCAGTGCAGCTATTTTATCACATACACATAGTCAGTTTTTTAATATAAATCATCTTTTATATGGCAGTAACTCAATATGTTTAGGTGTTTTACAAAGAAGACAATTTGCTGGAGTTTAAACTTAGTTTTAGAGTGGGGGGATTAGGCCTTTGTGTGTTGGTGCCAGACAGGCACCATATTTATTAACATGAAAATCATACCACTAAATGTTAAATAAGTGTACAAATATTTTTTTTTAGAATTTGAGAATATGTTTAGGTTGTTCCAGGTTTTATTCTTTTAATGTGCAAGTAATCTAGATATCTAAAATTAACTTTGCCTGTAACACTGGCGAATGAAATCGAGAGAGTTGCTTAGCTTATTTTAATGAATAATGCTACTTTCAGACCGCATGCGCTTGAAGCAGCAAAAAAGATTCTGCTGGTTCATTTTTGATGCATGTCCACTTTAAGGACAGACGTCCACTAAAGTGTGTCCAGATGTGTCTGATGCTTCTGCTGCTCCTGTGTTCAATGTTAAATCCATTGCATTGATAAAAGGATGTAACTTTTTAACTCCATGAATGTTTATGAAGTAAAATAATTTATCTAAATCCATAAATGTATTCAGCCAGGCTCTCAGCCTTAATACTGACAATCGAATAAAGGATGGCTGACATTTTATTATTCTAACATGCATAAGCTTGTGGGAAGTCATGTTTCATCATGTTTTCTGTATCTTTGCTAAAATGAAGGTTGCTCAATGCTTTACTTTGTAGTACTTTACCTGCTCAGTCAACTGTTACCAGATTGCAGATAATATAGGCATTTTTCCTGTCCTAACTAGTTTTGTCCACAGAACTTTTAAGCTTTTTATCTTTCTCTTGCTTATCCTCATTCTCAACTCTTTATGATCTGTTCTCTGTTGCATAGATTGACCCTCTGGTGTATGAGGAGCAGCTGTTGTGGGTAAGCGGAACCCAGGGCTATGTGAACACCTACAGAATCCCACTCATCACTTTCACACCCAAAGGTAGCCTGCTGGCCATAACAGAGGGTAGGAAGTCTTCGTCCAGTGACGTAGGAGCAAAGTTCATCGCAGTCAGACGTTCCACTGACAAAGGCAAGAAACCCCAGAAATTTTTATTTAAAAACCTCAAATAATCAGTGGGGTCTGGGATTACATTAGCAGCTCACTTGTTTTACTTCTGCTGTTCCTTGCAGGGAGCACATGGTCGCCCACCTCCTTCGTAGTGGATGATGGTAGCTTTCCAGATGGCTTGAACTTGGGCTCCGTAGTTGTGGATGAAGAGGCAGGTTCGGTGATTCTGATTTACACCATCTGCTTCCACCTATATCACTGCAGCCCAGCTAGCACCATGATGGTGGAAAGCTTGGATGACGGTCTGAGCTGGAGCCGGCCCCGAAACCTGTCGGTCCAACTGGGAGTGAAGGCTTTTGCTCCTGGGCCAGGATTCGGTATCCAGGTGAGAAAGAAGCATTAGGAGTGCATTGGGCTCTCCAATTATTATTTTTAGAACACAGATGTTCCCTAAAATGGGCCTCCATGTTCGTCAGAAACACACACACCTCAAAATTGCAGAGGAATTGCAAGCAGTTCAGCTTGCAGTTTAAATGCAATGTGTTCTTTTGAGATTGTCAAAAAAAACTCTGCATGTTTACTTCAATATAGACTGAATTATTTTTTCAGTTATACTCACTGCTGAGGACTTAACACTATAGCTGGATTCACCCAATACCACACATTCATTTACCTAAACACTGACCGATAGGCTGTTTGGTGTTATAATTGTTGAACCCACAACCTTCCACATGCAGACTAGTACTCTTCCCACTAACCAACCCACTAATAAGATGGACAATGATGTTTTAGATGTGGAGGCAGTGGCTCCAAATTTTATTATAATTGTGTGACATATCAGAGCCTCAATCTGATTGGCTGAACGATAAGTTGATCCAAATAAAAGGACGGATTCTAGGAGGACTCATCAGTGCTTTGAGCTAGGTCAAAATTATTGTGCAGGTTTGTACCTGTATCTGTTGTGGTCGCATTTTGACATAAAAACCAGCTACCTGGATCCTCTCATTTTGGTCACTTTGCTTCCTCCTAAGCGTATTGCTGAAACTGCTGGTGGAGCTGCAGAAACCACCTATGGAAAGGAAAGCAGCAACAGAAACCTGTTTAGTAACTACTGAGAGGATGTTAGCATCACAATTGGCTTCACATTAACGAGCCTAGCCAAATTGCTGCGACCAAGTAATGTTTAATACATTTGTGAAGGTTCTAAGAAATACAGGTTAGTTTTAATGTAAGGGCAGAGAACTGTGAGTGATTTTTTTTTATTGTAAGGCTAAAATTTAACCAAAACAGCTTTTTTTTGGCATCATAAGGAGCTGACAGCATTTACGTCACATGAACATAGTTAAAGCTTTTAAAATCATAATTTCTTCTCTCAGTTTTTTTTTTTTTTTTTTTTTTTTTTTACTTTACTAAATCCAGTTCCTAAATGAGCATTAGTGTTAATTGGATTTTTTTTTTTCCTTTATTTTTTTTAATTAACCGTATAGTTATAGTTACAAGATCATAGCTGATTTTTTTTTTTTTTTTTTGTTTGGGTGGGCATTGTTTCGTACTGCTGTTTATAATAAAACAGGGAACAATTTTGGTTGGTTCTGGTTTCACATCAGATGCAAAATAGTCATATAAACACAAAGGTTTTATGACTCAATTTGGGACAAGTTACCAATATTTAAAGATAACTATTCTTCTATAAAGTTTTGCCAGCAGGGCTTGTCTTAATGATTATAAATCAATCTAGCTATGTTGATCTGACATGATCCCTGTGATTTTTTATCAATACTTTTTCAGGTTATTTGTATAAAATCTGTTTCCATAAACCAACAGAAATATGACATTGTTAGCATTTCCACATCCTCTTTCACTATTTGAGGTGTAGTTTCCAGTTAGGACAGGATCCACCTTCTTTACAGCTTGGAGAAACTGCTATCCCTCCTTTACTAATTTTACATGTCATTAAGTCTTTCTAGAACAAATTTGCAACTATTTTCATAATCTATATTTGAGTGACTATTTCTTTATGAGCTTATAGACCCTGAATCTAAGAGGAAAACTAAACTAATAACCTGTTAATGTGGATATATTTCATAACTGATGATGGAATTTGGAAAAACATAAAACATTTATGATACAACAAACTGCTGTTAAAATTAAAATCTGAAACCAACTCACACAATCTTAAACTTTGCTTTTTGATAACACAACCATTTATCTAGCTTCTGCATCTCTTCTAAGATCATGACACAAGACATTTATCTGTAACTGTGCACAAAGAGAAGGTACAATTATCTCACTGATTACAACTTAAATCAATAGTCTGCAGTGGATTTTCTTTGTAAGCATCCTTTATACTTATTGAAGGAATTTTCAAGCAACTGTTTGGGAAGAAGATGGTTCTTAGCTGTTGCATTTCAGCAGGTTTTAGTGCTGATACTTGACAGGGATGATTACTTTTTTGTGATTAACTCTCTGTCAGACCAGATAAACATTGTTTGGAGTATGTCTTTTTCAGGTCAGAAAAGAAAAAAAAAAAGTCTATTTTGAGTAGGTTTATTTAATGGGGGGGACCCCACCCCCAAAGATGTAGAGTAATACTTCTAATGGCACAGTTATTGGCACCCCTACTCTCTATGCTTTAATACAACAAAACTTCATTTTCTAAAACATTTCATAAGGTCAGAGCAAACAGATACAGGATTTTACAACCATTACTGTATCACCTTCCCTTCTTTGTAACCCATTCTACAAGTTTTCTGAGCTTTTTCTAACAGAGGAAAGCTAAAGTTTGGTATTTTAATGATCTAATCAGACTATGGAATTTATCAAAGTCCCTGAGCCCCTTGTTAGAAGCACAGTAGAACTACAAGCCCATAGCATCACAGATCCTCTTCTATGCTCAGGAATATATAATGATGTTCCTTTCAAACTATTAATCAACTTATGGGTTTTATTTGTCAGTAGAACATGCCAGTATTTTAGGCTTGAAAAGAAAAGATGTTTTGTTTCTTCAGATAACTCAAATAAATGGTGCTTATCTACCTTTATAGCATATATACACTGTTAATAAGACTGTAATTTTGATTTTGTTAGAATCTTTAGTGTCTAGCTTACACTGCAGCGATTGAAGATTAATTTTCATTTTATGTGCTACACATCTTTCTTAGGTGTTGGTATCATTGTTTCAGGTGTTGTAGCTGTGTGTCATTACTGTGCAAACAAGAAGGATGAACCTTGGAGTGGCTCTTTGCTTTGAGGGGGAATGATTATCAGCCGCTGTTGATACAATCAGAAAACGAAGGTTATTTGGAAGGTTCTCCTTTTCTGGATGTGCAGTCTCCTCTATTTTTTGTATTCCAAGCCAGACTTCCTAACCTCACAATTAAAAATTTCTATAACAGAAAGACATGCTTTAAGATTACACAAAGATGCATTTTTGGATCACTAGGAGGAGGAAATCAAGAGAAACCACTCAAAGTAGAGAAGAAGGACGCATTTTTTTGTCCCCTCTCAATTGTAAATAAAGTGATAACAGGACTGTCCTGATATCAAATTAGTAAATGTGAAGTTTGTATTAATTTTTGGAGTGTGTTTAGCTTTATGATACACATCAATTGTGCAATAGTTAAAAAAAAAGCACGCAAAATGCAATGTTTTAGAACCTAATTTTTTATTGCTCATTTGCATATCTTTTTTAGGCAGGATTTTATAATAATAACAGTTGTGTCATGATGGGTTCTCAAAGAGCGACCCAAGTATGCAGAACACCACTGACGGACACAGGGATAAAAGTTCAACAAGTTTATTTTGATACAAGCACACTGAATGTACAGGTTCTGGCTCGAGCCTGGATACTGGTTCACCGGAGTCTGCGTGAGAGACAGTTCAGTTAGCGTTGCAAGCAGGAGCTTGATTTCTAGATGATAACTGATTGTACCTTGAGGGTTCTAGAGGTTAGCTTTGGGAGAGTCACTGTTGGATCTGGAGAGGAGTTGATCAGCAGAGTCCGCTTGCTGCTTCAGCGTCTCACGTCTAATTGTGAACAGACCTTGGGTTAGGGTTTTCCAGCTCTTAGTCCTGAGCTGCATGGAAGTTCTCTATGGTTCTTCGGGTTTGGCTCAGAGGGTCGGCTCGGCAGGTTAGCTCTTCCTGAGCTTCACAGAGGAGACACTGGTTTCCTGGAAGACAGAGACAACGGTTAGAATCCTGGCTGGATTCAAAGTCACAAAGTAACACTGAGAGTCTAGGCTTAGGCGCTGACCAACTGGATCAACACTGCGGCGTTGAGGCAAGGTCTGAAGACAGCTTATATAGTGGATCCTCTGATGATCTTGATGGGCTGCAGCTGTGCAGGAGGCTCACTCAGAAGGATCCACGGCGGACTCTGCTGGAGAAAGGTGGAACTTCTCCAGCTCCCAACAGTACCCCCCCCTCAACGACCGCCCCTTGGCGGTCCGGAAGAGGTTGAAGGGCAGGAACGCTCGTACTCCTCGATAAGGGCAGGATCGAGGATGTACGAGCCCGGAACCCACTGGCGATCCTCCGGTCCGTAACCCTCCCAGTCGACGAGGTACTGCCATCCGCGACCTCGTCGACGGGAGTCCACGATGCGTCGGACTGTGAAGGCTGGATGACCATCGACCTCCAGGGCGGGTGGTGGGGAGTCGGAAGGTGGGCACAGAGAACTTGAGACGACGGGTTTGACTTGTGACACGTGGAAGGTTGGATGAATCCGGAGAGACTGAGGCAGTTGGAGACGGACGGCAGATGGGCTGATGACTCGGGAGATCTTGTAGGGGCCTATGAATCTGGGCGAGAGTTTTCGGGACATCCCCTTGAGGGGAATGTCCCGAGTGGACAGCCATACCTCTTGGCCCTCTGTGTACTCGGGGGCGGGACGTCTCCTGGAGTCGGCGAAGCGTTTGTTGGTGTCTGAAGATCGGTTGAGGGTGGCGATGGTTTCTCTCCAGATCTTCTGACAGCGGCGGATGTGTTGGTTTACTGACTGGACCGAAATCTCTCTCTCGTCTGCGGGGAAAAGTGGAGGTTGATAACCGAGACTAACCTGGAAGGGAGATTGACCAGTGGAAGCAGATTTGAGGGAGTTGTGCGTGTATTCGATCCAAGTGAGAAATTGGCTCCAGTCCACGGGATTGTTAGAGGTGAGGCAACGAAGGGTGGATTCCAGCTGCTGGTTCATCCTCTCAGTTTGTCCATTTGATTGAGGATGGTAACCAGAGGTCAGAGAGGGTTTACAGCCAAGAGCAGAACAGAATGCCTTCCACACCTGGGAAATGAACTGAGGACCCCGGTCCGAGAGGATCTCTTGGGGAATGCCGTGTAAACGGAAGACGTGTTTGACGAGGAGCTGGGCTGTCTGGAAGGCCGTGG